ATTTTAGAGGATTTTATTCTTACATATAGCCTCAAGAGGATTCCTTTAAGATCAAGAGAAAGATGTTATAAATACATTATTCTTAAAGTTAGAGGGACTATATGTTACATGTGTAATGCAAGTCTTATTGATTTTAATATAAATTTCCTCTTATACACAGATTATTTAATCTTTTTTTAAGAGGATTATTACTTATTCTTACTGGTTATACTAGTTTTGAAAAAATTATCATAATCTATAGCGAAAAGTAATACATATATGTAGATGTACTTCTGACTCCGATTCTACAATAAGTATAAGCACGAGTGAAATAAGAACGTAACAAACAAATTTCGAATCGGTTTTGTTTTGGCTTTGTAGCTATTTCATAGCTACAAAGATGTTCATCATAACCAATTGCACGAAACATAGTTAAAAGAAAGAATATATTACTCAACTTTTTGCAATAGATTGTAAACTGTGTTTGACCAAATGTGGGTAAATTAACTTCGTTATATGTTACACACATACCTTTTTTAAAAAGCGTTTCAGGTATTCTGACTTGTGAGCACACAGTTATTTTTTCGCTCGTGTCTGGAGGTAGGCATGACTGAACAAAAGAGGCCGACATACTCCTCTTCGTATAAGAGGAAAGTTCATTCATATAAGAGGAAATCCTCTTGAAAGAAGAGGAAAGAATATCCAATAAATTAGAATGATATCTAATAAATTTTAGATGAATGGTTCGCTCTTTAATCGCTTTATCGAAAGAGGAATCCTTTTTCTCTAAAAGGCTCCGCTTAGAATATGAGACTATGAGAAAATTTACACTTAACAAATAGAATACTTTTTTTTGCAATCGTGCAATTTTTTACGACCACGTTCGCCTGCTCCCGTCGCTATTACCGCCGGCGATTACCGCCAAAGACGCGTATCGCTTCCCCGTGTTTGTGTCATTCGATCTGTCCAGCTGACTTTCCGGAATCCTAGTGAAGCCGGCTAACGGCTCACCCGGTAACCGAGTGATAACAGTCCGCGGGACGCGCGACAAATAACACGAGGCCGCCTCTCTTAACTGTTCAATTAACTTAATCGACTAATTGCCCGTTGCCGCTCCGTTCGATTGAAATATCGTTAGAGACATTTGCCGAGAGCGACGACATCGGGGAATGTCATTCCTTTATACATGTATTCCCTTTATTTTTCTTTCTCTCCGCGTCAGAGCGAGTCCTTTCGAGTGTCGTTGAGGGGCTCGGGAGGAACGAGTCGAGTCGCAGGGAGTAATGTCCTCGAGTGCACGTACACGAGAGTGCACCGCGCTGAGAATGCGGTTGCATAACGCCACGACTGGTCACTCGTGTCCCGTGCGACACCTTCATTTCTTCTTCTCTCCTTCTCGTCTTTTTATCCTCCGCGTCTTAGTCCTACCTCGCACGACACGCTGCTGCCCGCCCTTTCCTTTTCCTCTCGTCCTCTCCTCTCCTCCCTGTCCCGTTGTAACAGAATACAAAATGTCGCTGGTAATTCCAACGCACTCGGCGCACGGGATCTTTTTTGTCCTCTCGCTTTCGAGAAGGTTCATGTCTCGTGTTGGAGTAATTCGTAATTTCGTCGCGCTCACGCCATGTTGCCGGCAGGATGCAATCGCGGAGGACCGTTTCTCGATAAACGCGACGGCGCACTCGATCGCAGAAAACTTGGATATTCTCTGATATCGTCTCCCGAGATCAAAACACGCACTCTGGAGCAGTCGCTAAAATCTAAAAATTAACTCGAGCAGAACGAGCGAGTGGGCCGGCGCGCGCGCTTATCCGTTCGCTCCGATCACATCGGCAGATCCGCGGAATTCCGTTTACACAGCAGAAGAAGGATGTCTCCCTGATGTACAAGGAGCCGGCAATAAACGTTTTTAATTGCAGCGCGGCGACAGCAGCTCGAGAGCGCGATATAAAAAAGCGAATTACGGGTAGAGGAAGAGGGAAGGTAGAAAGATGAGCCGGGGAGGGGGGGGCGCGACGACGACGGCCATGGCGGCGGGAAGCGTTTCGCGGGAAACGTATTTTCGTTGCTGCGGTCGGCCCGGAAAAGCGAGCGAACAAGAGAGAGAGAGAGAGAGAGAGATATTACTCTCGCGCCGACGACGATGTCTGGCGCCGCGACGCTTCGCCGCGATGTACCGTGACGGACGGACAAATGCGGCCGATTTATAATTCGCTCTGCGGACTAATAGACCATACGGCGAAGCGGAATATCTTCGCGGAATATCATACGCGGCCGTAACACACTCGCGAGTGTCGCCGATTAACCCGGAGAATTTCAGCGCCGCGCGTCCGCCGGTAATAGCCGCGCGATTGCGGGAAATTACATATTTGCGCACGCCGTACGCGAATAATAGGCGACACACGCGACCCTTCTTTGTCGCTCGCTGCGGCCGGCTACGCTTCCGACTATCCTTCCGCTAATTGGGTACAAAAATTTCGCCCGATTTTTGTGCACCGCCGTGTACTCGATTCTCATCCTCCGTAGCTCCGTAATATGCGCGTAATATAATAATGCGAAATCTCCTCCCCGTCGAGTCCGCTTTCTCGCTTCCTTCGGCGCGCGGCCTCCATTCGTGGGATGTTTAAGTCCAAAGTTCCGATGGAAATTATTCGATTGTCTTCTTTCGCCTCGTCTCTCGCGAGGGGAAGGAGATTGCAGAAAGATCGTCTCCTGAATGGAGAGCTCGAGCGTTGTTCGAGGTCGCTTCTGTTAGCGCGCGTCGTCCACGACCCCGAGCCGTTGTTCGTCTAAATTGGAAGGATCGACCGACGTAAGAGCGAAACCGTAACGTTTTGCTCGCACGTTACGCCCGCGATTTCGTCACCATAAAACGAAAGCGGACACTAGTCGTCTTTCAACGTCCGGTCCAGCGATTCGCCCTAACCGCCCCGCCACCGTCGTCGTCGTCGTCGTCGTCGTCGTCGTCGTCGTGGTCGGTTCGAATTTCTGGCATCTCTGGTTTCGTCTTTGGTGCCGACGGAGCCGCTTACTTAACATATAACCGCCACGATCACAAAGGGTTCCGAGAAGGCGCTTCGAGAAACTGCCGCGTTCCTCCCCCCCTCTCTCTCTCTCTCTCTCGAGGCCTTTTTCTTCTTTTATTTTCCTCGACCATACGTGCGGCCTGACCTCGCTTCCTCGTTACCTCATCGCCGGACATCCTAGTTAAGCCGCGGACTTTGTGCACGGCTATATTCCGAGAGAGACTCTCTCTCTCTCTCTCTCTCTCTCTTTCCCTCTCGTCGCGAAATACGCAACGTATTGCGACATCGGCAAGGCGGCAGAAAAGAAAAAGATTAGAAACGGCCGGCGAAGACGAAGGCAGCGAGAAGATGAGGATATTTATCACTTCTCTCGGGCTCGGGAGAGACTTTTTTCAACGAGTAGAAGACACACAACGGCAGAAGCGAACTCGGGGAATTCGGACGTTACGAAATCTAAGCTTGTTTCAGATTTGCATGCTCGCGTATTTCGGGGCGCGTCGCAGCACATACTTGAAGATTAAAGCGAGAGCGGCACGTTCTATTATTACGACGCGAAGAATTACAGCCAATTACTTGTCGAATGGCTTTGGGGAATGTTAATTTTATGCGCCTTCCGTGTTTTTGCACGCCGGCCAGGAACTCCGGCGTTCTCGCGCGCGGGCGGTCTCCGCCGCTTTTGCGAGCGGGGTAATTACGATATAATAATAACAGCGCGCGCGCGCGCGTGGAGCGACGACGGCGGGCGTCGCGGCGCGGCGTGTTGCCTCGGTGAATCATCGGCGCCGTTCCGCCCAGCTCGAAAACTTTCGTTCGTGCGTCGTGCGTAATTAAGCGCATAAAATGCACGGCGATTAATCACCGCGGTTCTTCCGGTGCGGGGGGAGAGCCGTCGCCGCTCTCCCCTCCCCTCCCCTCCCCTCTCAAGATAATGCACACAGAAGTAGGCTAAACCTCTGACCCCTCCTCCCCGACCACTTTGATCGAGCGAGCCTCGATATCGCATTTTGGCTCGTTAGCGCTTCCGCGATCGCGTGGAAATCGCGAGGAATTTTTACCGGGTCACGATTAACGCGTTGGAGGCACGTTAAATGGAGAGATTAATGAGTAGTGAGTAAGTAAATGAGTCCACTATTAGCTTCGCGTGTAGAGCCTAAAAAACACGTAAAAAGTTTCACATACGAAGCATGCGCCAGAATAAGAAACTTCGCGTGACCGTCGACTTTATCGATACGTGAGAGCCAGAGAGAGAGAGAGAGAGAGAGAGACACTGAGGGAGCTAGAGTTAGATTTTAGAGCGGAGAGAGAATTTCAACGACGCGTCAATTATCATCTTGCTGCGATGTGCGCACCTTACGCGATATACAATATCGTATTTCTCGATTACGTTTCCATCGAGCGTCTGCGATCGCGACGGCAATTTGTAGCCGAAGGGGGCGCGACGTGGGAGGGAGCCCACGTCGTGCAGACTGGAACAATAGGGCGTAGGGCAATAGCGATAGCGGGGAATTTCTGTTGGACTCGCAGGGTATCGTAAAGGATCGCGAGTGCAGTCGAATGAGGGCGAGTTCGGTAGACTGCTCTCTCTCTCTCTCTCTCTCTCTCTCTCTCTCTCTCTCTCTCTCTCTCTCTCTCTCTTTCCCTCTCTCTCTCTCTCTCTCTGCCTCTTTCTCCGGCTCTCGAATGCATCGGCGCGTCCATGCTTTGGAATGCCGCCGCCGCCGCCACCGCCGTCGTCGTTGCAACAAGAAGAAAGCGATTCGGTTCCACCGCCGTGGCGGGGAGGGGCGAGACCCTCGTCGACGGGAAAGTTCTCGTGGGCCGAAGAAGGAAAGACTCGACGAGCAGGAGAGCAAGCCCTTCGTGGCGCAGGGAGCTTGGCGCGGGCAAGAGCAAGAAAGTGTGAAAAGGAGCGAGCGCGAGGCGGTCGGAAGGGCGAGGAGCGAGAAGGCTGCACGTAGTAGTAATAGTAGTAGTAGCAGTAGTAGTAGTAGTAGTTGTAGTAGTAGTAGTAGTAATCGTAGTAGTAGTAACCAGTCGTAGAACGCCACGGTCTACGTGTACCTTACTACATTGCGTGCAGCAACGATGCCACGGAGGCGCATCGCGTCGACGAGAACGGCGACTTGTCTCTCGACGCCACGCGGCAGGAAATCTCCTTTTTCCTTTTCTTTCTCCACACGCGTACGTCGCGTACGCGCTTCTACGTGCATCGCGGCGCCTCTCTCACGCGGGGCGGACGAGACGGGGGCAGGGGGAGAGGAATACATCTTGCTTCGAGGAACTCGTGAAAGCAAATGTGTGTGTCTCTATCAATCTGTCGCTCGCGCGTCTTGATGAGTACCGCGAACGCATGCATCGAGGATCTAATTGTCCGGACGCGAGTACGGCGAAGTCGTCGAGCGCGATCGTTATCTCTCTCACGCGCGCGCACGCGTTAACTGGGAGAATTTCGTCGCGAAAAATACATCTCGCTCTCTCGCCGTAAGTAACCCAGCCCGAGTGATGATGGGGAGGGGGAGAACAGCCGTGTGACCCTGCTTCGTGGAAACGAGTTCAGCAGGTGGGGTCGCGAACTCGGGCACGCGATCGCGCGTTGCGACGCGAGTTTTCCTCTCTTTCGACCGCCAGCTGCGCATTATTCCTTCACCCTTCTTTCGCGTCTCTCGCGCGCGCGCCTCTTACCGAACGCGGCTCGTCTCCGTCGCGGCGTCGCCCCATTCAGACGGCGGCCGCAGCTGTCGAAATTTTACTCGACGCGCGAACGAGAGCGGGGGACGATTTTACACGGATGCGCCACGTAAGAATCCATACTGTCCTTCAAAGTTATTTTATCCTCACGCCATCCTCGTTGTCGTTAATGCGGAAGAAGGCAGAATTCCGAAATGGGAGTTTTCCTCCAACCTCCTTAATGTTAATTAGGCAACTGGAAACTCGACTCATCATCCCTCGAGTTTTGTTACTCGTCAGTTTTATCTATTTTCGTGATCATCTTTTATCGCGCTCGGGCATCGAGCGAAATTTTTTGCTTGACATCGAGATCGCATTCACACCGATCGAAAACTTCTTCGGATTAGGATCGTTATTAACGTACGGCGTGCGGGAACATGCAGACACATCATTCTCGACTTGTTCGAGAGGGCGGGGAGAGAGAGAGGGGGGGGAGGGGGAGAGAGAGGGAGAGAGAAGAAGAAACGATCGTCTCACGCCGCCATAAATCGTTACCTGCGGAAAACGCCGTCGCCGTCGCCGCAGGCGAAGCGGCCTTGGCCCGCCGTCAGCTTTTGCAGAGCGGCGCTAACGAGATTTCGGCGTGTGCGTTGGAGAAGTCAGGTCGAAAGAGCAGAAACCACGTTCGGAGAGCCGTGGTCTTCCGGCTTGTGTAATCGCGACGCGCCAAGCTCTCCGAGAGGAAGAGTGAGAGAGAGTGAGAGAGAGAGAGAGAGAGAGAGAGAGAGAGAGACACTCCTTTTTATTCCGTTCTTTAGAAAGCAAAAGTTGGCCGTGGCGTTCTCGACCTTCCTAGCGGACTCGAACTCGTAAACGAAACGCGTTAAGTAATTAATGCGAGTCAACGAACTCTTTCTGTCTCTCTCTCTCTCTCTCTCTCTCTCTCGCGCGCGCGCGTGATAATATTAACCTCATCTCCGTCGTATTTTTTTATTATGCACAATCGTTAAACGTGACGAAGGAACGTCTTTCTCGCGAGGAAAGAATTTGTCAAATTTGTCGAGCAAACATGCTCGTGAGCATCGCGCGAATTTCCGGGGAAAACGCGTTAATTGGCCAGTGTCGAGCTTGCGTATCGATTAAATATTACGTGATTGATCCTGTCGCAAGTACACAGCAGTGCTTTATGTAGGTTTACATTGATCCGCGCTACAGCCGCGTTGTACCGCGCCGTTCAATTATTGTGTTTCGCTCGCTCTCCCGTCGATATAGCGATTTACGTACGGTTGAAATTCTCCCGTTTTCATGACGGGAGACACGGGTCTACGGGCATCATCGCGGCTCTAACAATCCAACGTCGTCAGCCACTTCTCCATCAGATCCTCCCTCTCTCTGCGTCTCTCTGCCTCGATGCACCTTTTCTGTCCCGTCGCGTCCCCGTGCCTCTTCATGTGTCCGTAGATGACGCTGGGCGAGGCGGTCTTCAGGTCGTAAGCCAGTCCCACGTAATTGAAGAATTCGAGCAACGTTGAGCTGAGTCCGCCCATCCGTCCGTATTCTGATAGTCGGCAGTCCCAGGGGAACGTGTGATGATAATTGTGCCCACCTTCGCCGGCGGTCACGATCCAGGCAAACAGCGACTGCTTCGGTTTGATCCTCCTGAAAACACAGTCAGCCTGCCAGAACTCGCGAAATCGTGGCCCAGCGTTGAGCATCGCGTGGAGTGTCCGGCACGACACGGCACAAAACTGCGAGACGACGAACTTACTTGTCGTAAGTTTTGGAGCCCCACAAATGAGCGAACGAGTTTATGGTCCAAATTATGTGGAGGTTGGTGACGTACGGTACGAAGTACGCCACGAAGAACGACGACCACAGGGTCTCGTTCCAGAAGTACATCGGTACCGACACCGGGAACAGGACCCCCAGGACGAAGTAGATCTGCAGGAAATATCTGCAAAATCGTCGTCGCGTTCAAACTTTTCCTTCCTTTCACGCGGAAGCCGAGGGTGTCTCTCGCGTCTGAGGAGAAACAACGGAGGAGAGACACGGTATCTTTCTCGTGAAATTTCCAACGATATTCCGAATTCCGAGTGAGGCAACTCGCGTCAGTTGAATCTGCGAGTCGTTCACACGGACACGTTCGCTGACGACTACGATGTGGGGAAAGTGACGACGCAGTCGTCGCGATTTACCTGTATTGGAACATGAACAGCTTGTCGGAGGTCACGTCGGACATGTCGACCTGCCGCTGCTTCTCGAGTACGAGCGGATGCCTCAGGACGAGAAGCCAGCCGATGTGCGAGAAGAAGAATCCTCTGGTGGCGTTGTGCGGGTCCGCGTCCGTGTCGCTGTACTTGTGATGAAGCTTGTGATCCCTAACCCACGAGAATATGCTGTTCTGAAACGAGAAGGAAATTCGCCAGCGATTCGAACGGCGGAATAATGCAGGGGGACAGATCCTGCGTGCGCGCGCGACAGGATTCTCCATCGAGCGCGTTCACACTCGCCGCTGGATTTACCTGGCCCGACATCGTCTGCAGTATGAGCAAGAAGATTTTGAGCGGTGCGGACATCTTGAAACTCTTATGACAGAAGCCACGATGCGCGCCCAGCGAGACACCCTCGGCGATCCAGAAGCCGAGGAAGAGCACTGAAAAGATGTATCGTCATGAGTCATTAATTAGCATGAGTCGTTAATCAGGCCGTCGTGGGTGCGGCAGCTCTGAAGCTTCATGTTTTACTTCAACTACGTGATATACTTTGTCACGAAGAGAAGAGCGATCTCGGCTGTTTCGCTCGGCTCGCTCGCACCTTCTACCTAATCTAACATAACCTAACAAAATCTCAGGGAGATGTATTAGTCATTGCCGAATTGATGTATGTTGTGTTTTTAAACGACGCTGTCGCAAGTCAGTCTCGTTGATGAAATGAATGAGCGTCATCATCTCGGTTCTCCGGATGCGATCGGATACATACTCCAAAGGTTGGTTGCCACTTTCGCGTGAAAGATCGCCGTGTATATCCCGATGAACCACGATATGTGCAGGAGCACGTGAATGAGAACACGTCGCCAGAGGTACTTGTGCCGGTAATTCATATCGGTGTCCAGTTTCTCGTCCAAGACCTCCTCCCCCACCTCCTCCTTCTCCGTTTTATCGTCGGGCTGATCGCGCGGCTTTTTTGCGTCCCCCATCCCGACGTGAAACGTGATTCTTTCGCGGCGAGATTTATCAAGCGTGAATTATTCGCCCGTAACCGTTCGCGCCGGTGAGAGAGTGCGCGTTATTTGTCTCTCAGTTCTCGCTTTGTGCTTTTTCTCTCCTCTTTATCGAGACGCGCCGGCCGGCCGGCCGATCGAGTTTGACTTATTTAATAATCAGAACGACGTGCCGCGCGACTACTACGTCTCTCCCGACGAGGGAGAGAGAGAGAGAGAGAGAGAGAGAGAGAGAGAGAGAGAGAGAGATTCGGGACGGCGAGTAGTCGGTATCCCCGCGCGCACGAAAATGTACTCGCGGTCTCTCTCGCCGTGCGCTCGCTTATGTAGCGCCTGAAATGATTAATTCGCCCCGAACCGCGACCCCGAATTAACTTATTTATCATGTCCCATTTAATGACTCCGGCTCGCTCCTCACTCGCATTTGCATAATTCGTTTCCATTGTTTCCGGTTAAATGCATATTCCGAGCGGCTGAAATAAGGAAACTTCAACAACGGGGCCGCGCGGCGGCTGATCTTGTGCCCTCCGATGACATTTACTTGTTCGATTAACATTTCCGTTTCACAAAAGCGTCGCGATATGAGAAAGAGAGAGAGAGAGAGAGAGAGAGAGAGAGAGAGAGAGAGAGAGAGAGAGAGAGAGAGAGAGAGAGAGAGAGACAGCGAGGACTCATCACGCACGTATAAATTCGTACAAGCTCGAGCCGCATAGCACGCGAAACATGCTGTCCTACTACGAAAATATACAGAAGGCAAGGTCGACGCGCACAAGTCGCGCGCTATCAATGTCGGCTGCTCGCGCGGCCGGTGTCCAATTAGCTCCGCAAAAAAAGAGCGTCCCCGTGGGGATAATCGCGCGCGACGTTTCGACACGGCGAAGGACCGGCCGCGGCCGCTCGCTCGCTCGTGGAGAGGACTGCGCCGCCGCCGTCGCCGCCACGTTGTTCCCGCATTTACGATCGGAGAGCCGTAGGACGGTAGAAGAGGAGCATCTGCTCGTTAACCACCTGTCGGCAGGTGCGAACCGTACACCCGGGCCCGTTACCCCGCGCGCCACGGTATCAATCGGCCCTTTTGTTTTCGCCGGTTTATTCCTTGAAGTCATTCCCGTTTTACTACGACGTAGTACGCGCGCCCGCACCAACGTCAACCGAGTATGCATGCATAAACGCACGCACGCACGCACGCACGCACGCACGCACGCACTCTCACGCATGCATGGCGACGTACGACACGCGATAGTCTTTCCCCGGATGTTATCGACTCCGTACCGGCGCGGTACGTTCCCTTCCTTCCCCCCCGGCCGCGTAAAACCCTTTAAGCTCATGGCACGTAAACAGGAAGTCATACCCTCCCTCTCGCCCTTCTTTCCTCTTTGTTCCCCCCTCCGTTTCCCCCGTCGCATACGACGACGCACAGCTTGCGAATGACGCGTAAGAGAGTTTGCCACCTGCGACGAACGTCGCCGTGATCGATCTCTCTCTCTCTCTCTCTCTCTCTCTCTCTCTCTCTCTCTCTCTCTCTCTTCTTTTTTTCTCTGTTGCGATTTATCGATCGGGAATTATTCTCGAGTTCTCGAGTCCTCGGATCCTCTCGAAGACGCGCCATCTCCGAGCGTCTTGCGTTTCCGGAGCTTGGGTTTTTTCAACATTGCGTTACGTGACTCCGCTTTTTTGCGCGCAAGCGCAGAGGTAATGTTTCGGACGATGACTGGACGTATATTGCGCATATCGCGTTTTTTTCACGTCGCCGCGATCGACACAGGATGGACAAGCGAAGTAAGGTTCTCGTTTCGTTTGCGCAGGCCGCGATACTTCAACAGACGGCCGAGTACATTTACCAGTTGGAGCAGGAGAAGACGCAACTGCTGTCGCAGAATTGTCAGCTGAAGCGGCTGGTGAATCAGCACGAGGGCGGCGATCTGCCGAAGAAACGCAAGTCCGACACTCAAGGTAAATCCCTTTCACACTTTTCCCCTAGAAATTGCTTATTGCCGTCTCTAGGAAAAAGAGAATTGGATATTTTTATCGACAGACGTGGATTCTTCTAGTTTTACGCATGATAACATTCGCGTATTCTCCGAGGAAGAGAGAGAAAGGGGGGGGGCGGGAGCGAGATAGTATCGGAAGTGTCGCGACGGCATTGAAAGCGAAACGTGCTCGATAATATAAAAATGTATCGGCAAAACATCGTTCGCTCGCTCGTGCAAACATTTATATTCGCGAAGCGCGACGGAATTAACGTTTATCGTTCGTCGCATAACGAGATTTTCCAAATGGGCTTGAATTATTTATCGCCCGCGCGGCGCGGGCGGTGCGGCGGCGGCGGCGGCGCCCCGGTGCGCGGATTCGCGATCATAAAAGCAAAAAGCGGAAACAATCCGTGTGCGGCGCGCGAGAAGTTGCCGGGGATATACGTTCGCAATCCGCTTATTTCACAGTTTGTGCTCGCGCGTTTATACACCGGCATATAATAACGTTCAAGTTGCCATCGTAAGTTATTTTTCAATCGCGAGATTGAATTGTTTCATCTTCGAACTCGCGCGCGGATAAATAAATAACGCACGGCCGTATTCTCGAGGAAGCGACTTCGAAGATTTCTCCCGCCTTCTTAACGCGGCAGAGATACGCGAACGTGTTTTAGCGTAATATATGTAAAGTTTGCCATGATTCCTTTCTTTCTCTCTCTCTCTCTCTTTATATAATCATCGAATTGATATGCGAACGACCATATTTCGCGGCGAAGAATGGCAAATTTTACAACCAGGAATTTTTTAATCTCTCTCACGACGACGACGGCCCGACTTCCCAATGTGAACGCGCACCGCGTTCGAGGGCGCCGTCCGTCATTTTCGCGAAAGTAATTACATTCTTTCCGACCTCGGAAATCGTGCCGAAGGGATATATACAGGCTATTTCAGCGGGAAAGGACAACGCGTTAGGTGGATTGTTGTGATACGGTTTATTAAATGTCGCGCTTAAGATAACTCGTGGAAAATCAGAAAACGATTATTTCGGAAATATCTACGATTCTTCTTCGGTACTTTTGTCGGTTCAGAAACGAAATGAGCGCGTATGATATTTTAGCCACATGGCGGTATTTTCTTTTCAAACGTTTTATTTTGATGTAAGCGACACTTGATTCACAATTCGTCGTTGCGCGCTCGTCGTTAACTAAGCGAGAGGTGAGAGTGACAGAATCGTGCTTCGACGGTCGTCTCCGTCGTTCGCCCGCGAAAGTCGTTATTACTTGGACAGTTAAATACAGCGGGTGGATTAAGGGTGCCTCTTCATTCTCTTTCTCTCTTTCACTCGTTCTCTCTCTCTCTCTCTCTCTCTCTTTCGCGCGCGTGCTCACTCTCGACGCGCCGGTGGCGTTTTGGCCGACGTCGGTCGCCGTTGCCATCGCCGTCGCGACGGTGCGCCTGCCGGAAAGTATCTGTCGCGAACTTCAGCTGGGACAATTTCAATTTCCGGTTCTATCGTAAATTAGTTTCCTCCGTCGATGGTACGGCGATATTCAGAAAGTTCGACGACTGTGCGACGAAGCGGATTTAATGCCGACGAGCCCAGTTTTATCGATCAATCGCGGTTAGCCGCCTTATTGTCTTCAAATATCAGTCTCGGCGTTTACAACGACTCTCCCGCCCGGTGAAATAACTTTCTTCCTTCTCCTCCTCCTCCTCCTCCTCCTCTTCCTCCTTCTCTTCTTCTTTTTCTTCTTCTTCTTCCTCTTCCTCTTCTTCTTTGCCGTGGTGATCAAACTTGCTCAGGGAAAACTAATTCATCGCGACTCTCGCGCGAAGCCGTTCGCGACGGAAATGGATTGTTCTCCGATATTTTCAAATCGCTCGTTACTTTCTTTTTTTTTTTTTTCTTTTTGTTTTCTGGAAAATGTACGAAATTTTATACACTCGCGAAAAATTCGAGTGTTTCGTTCGATATATGTATTTAACACGCTCGACAAGTACTCGGAAATTCGGACTGGGGGACGCGCGCATATTAAATGTCCATCCGCACATTATGCGACTCTTCTCCGTATCCCTTTATTGTGGTCGCGCACACAACAGGGGGATTAATCGATTGAACGCGACCGGTGTAACTCGTGAGCCCGCGGGAGCAAGCGCGCGTGCTCGCGGGGAGGGGGGACGCCAGGGGGAGAGCTATATTTGCGGAAATGGATTATGCGTACTGTATTAACGGGCAAAAATATACGCGAGGTGCATTACTCGCGTAAAAATACGCAACGGACCTCCCCCCCCGTCCGGGGTATATAAACGCGATTTAACATCACATCTCTTTTAAATCTGTTTCATATCCGCCTCTCCCGTCGCCCCTGACTCGTGAAAAATGGAAACTAACGGCGCGAGCGTGTCGACGCGTTCCTTTCCCATTGACAACAATAGAGCCGCGCGCCCCCCCCCCCTCCCTCGGTGATCGCAATTACCGGCGCGCGCTGCGCGCGGAGAAATTACGCGCGTTAATTAATAAATGCCCCGCCGATCGAAAATACGCCAGAGTTCGGCGTTACGCGCGAACAATATCGCACAGCGACCGCTGTGATGGAAAATCGCGAGGGGGAGACGAGACGCGCACGAGACGAGAAGATAGACGAAGCCGCGCGCGACGGGTTCGGCTCGTCTCGGCGACGCGCTGGATTGCGGAAGAGATCTTTCGACAGCCGGTGCTCGCTCGTCCCCGATGACCGGCTGCTTTCGTTTCTCAGGTGTCGTCGTGAATCTACCGATGCACGTCAGCGAGAGCGGCGACGAGGGCTTGGGCAGCATGTCTCCCGAGCCGTTGTCGGTAATCACAGTGACCACCGAGGGACATTCCGTCGTGAACAGCGAGGTGTCGGAGCTCAGACGGCAGTTGGACAGAGAGCGTCACGCGCGGCTGCATTTAGAGAAACAAATGAGAGAGATCCAGAGCCAGTTGTATCCAGAGAGATTCCAGAGGGACAATCAGCTGATAACTTATCAGACCCACGAGGTAACGATCGCAACGACCGCTTCGCGATGTCGCTTACTCGCGTTTTCTTATTCACCCTCCCGGTGAACAAAGCTACGACCGGAATAGAATCTCTGTCTTGCCGACTCGGCGAATCAGAAGAAACGATACGTTATCCGCGCGTTATCCGATTATCCGATAGTAGATCTCCGGCGGCGCGAGAAAGAAAGCCGCGCGCGCCGCGAGACTGAACTTCGCTCGACTTTTAACCGCAGCCTTAAATATCGCAGAGTTACATCACAGTGCGAAACACGCTCGAGCGATTTCGGTGCCGTGAGAGATTAGTATCTACGTGACGCGAGACATAACTCAGCCGCGCGAGAACCGCGCGCCGCCGCGCCGGACGCCCGTTCGACCGTCGACGATTTAAACATTCCCCGGGCGAGCGATATTGCAAACATTGTTTTAATTGCCCGACTAGATAACCGCGCCCGATAACACGCCCCGCCGGCGCGCCGCGCGTTTCGTTGCTTCGATCGAATCGACTTCTCTTTCCCTGCGCGTTCCGCGCGCGCCGATCGATCGCGACTCGACGACGACGATCTCTCGATGATCGGCGAACGTCGCTTCAGCAGGTGATCGACCACACGGACAACGTGATGGCGCAGGAGACGGAGGAAGCGGTGGCGTCGCTCCAGGTGGTGTCGGTCATGTCTCTGCCGCCGGTGGGCTCCACTCAGACCGTGGAGACCTCCAGCCCGGACCCGAGCTCGCCGCCTTTGTCGCCGCAGCCAACCGATATGGTCGCCGACGAGGAGATCAAGGAGGAGGAGTCACGCCCAGGCAGCCCGAAGATCGTCACCTTCGCTCAGAACCCGGTGTTCACGACGATAGAGGAGCAGACCACCGCCGACTCCTTCTCGTCGTCAAGTCGCGTCACGTACGCGTCCTCCAGCGCAGACTTCAAGAATACCTCGCCCCAGTACATCACCGCGAGCCCCAGCAGGTCTTTCTCACCGACTGGTGCTGAGCCCCAGCGGTTACCCAGCGTCTTGGAGGCCGCGATGAAGGCTGAGCCCAAAGTCGAGGTGGAGAGGTACGTGTCTTTCGTTGTTTTTTTATTTCGTTGTGCGTTGTGGGTAATTTCCTCCTTCGGCCTCTTACGGCCATGGCACACACAGGGAAATATAGACATTCAGTAAACAATCTTTATTTGATGAATTATCAGTTGCTTCGTTACTTGATTATCACATTCGTTATTTCATCATTATTTATTTTTCAATTGGTAAATTAAACACGTAGGAAGATATCAGCAATAAACTGAGCCTGAGTGATCATGGTTAATAATTTCAGCGGGATAATCTTACGCTTCCGATACTTTTCGATTTATGATGTCTAATTCGTTTACTGAATTACGTTTACGTTTCCGGAGTGCTATGCCCTTTAGACCCAAGGTTTACGGTTTCTCACAGTCGATAGTACCAAGAGGAGGTCTGTTCTCTCTCTCGTTGAGCCGGGGATTGCACTTTTTGCCTCTAAAGCGAAACAAGTTTATAACCTAGCCCTTGAAGGGAGAAGGAAACAAAGTTTCCCGGCGCAGCACTAGTTGAAGCGAAAAGAACAGTCCCCATGTACTCGCGTGAATCCGACACTAACGCGGGAATTATCGGACCGCACAGGTTGCCGTCTCCATCGAACTCCCTGGAGGACGGCACGCCGCAGGCAAGGCTATACATCGCGAACACGTCCCGGCAAAATCTGGAGACAATCGTCGAAGCGATACGTCACCTGGAGGGTGATCATCTGTTCAGCGACGAGCCCGCGCAAGACGTACCGTTGGCGCTGACCAACAAGCAGACGACGTCAAAGTCGTCGAACAAGACCGCGACCGCGACATCGTCCTCCGTCACCGCCGCCGCCGTCGCCTTGGCCTCCTCCCCCTCGTCGTCGCCGTCAACGACGTCCGCGGCGACATCCGCGAAGCAACGGCTGCACGCCGAGGTGAATAGCTTCCTCCAGTTTCACACGCAGCAGCAGACCCAGCAGCGACCAGGCGTGATCGTGGTGAAGCACTCGTGATCTAACAACGCGCCGCGGCCCGCTCACTGAGCGGGATGCAACACGGAACGACGCACTCGCCACCTCCGCTCGACATCGTCATCATCGAGATCATCGGTATCAATATTGTCATCGTCATCGTCATCGTTGTCATCGATATCATCATTATCATTATCGCGGCGGTTCATTCGGAAATGAAGTATCCCTTTCACGCACTCACTACTGATGGAAGAAGCGAAGAGAGGGAGAGAGAGAGAGAGAGAGAGAGAGAGAGAGAGAAAGAGAGCTCGTGGAAATGTGACAAATAACAGCGGTCGTCACAATTGCGATTACGCATTTTTCTACGCGTCAAGGACGTTGAAGGCGTACTCTCTCTCTTTCTCTCTCTTCAATTTTCGAAGAGCCCTCAAAGGGATCCCTTTCGTCCGGCACTGCATACTAGACTCTCTGTATACCGCGACAGGTACGAAATGGGATCCTTTTCCTTATTCCTTTCTTTTTTTACGTGTATTCTTACTCTTTGCACGCTTCGCCTCGTCTTCGCCTCGAAGAAGAGACCGCGTCCCTCGCGAAGCGGAAACAGAGCGGCTCGGTTCAATCGATGCGCCCGCATGCACGCGTTCGCTCGTCGACGACTGGGCTGTACCGAGGACAATGCTACGTATGCCATCGACCGGGTTTTCTTGTCGGGACGAAGCGATACTTAAAGATTGCGGATATACAGGTTTATTTTGGGCGGAGGCAGAGCCGAGTCGAAGCCGAGTCGACGAAAGGATCCTCATCGCCGAATCGTTGAAACGTCGTTCTCTCCCACACACACACACACACACACACAGACACACACACACACACACAACATACACACATAGACAGCACTCGCTCTCATGTAAATACCGAACGATTCCTCCTCCCGCAATCGTTTCCGACGATCGCCACGAGATCACTTTGAATCTCGAAGGGTTTTCTTTCTTAACCCTCCCTCCCTCCGAGGAGAGTCGCCCTTCTCGTGAGACAGAAGGAACAGAGGGAAAAAAACAGAAGGAGCAAGAGAGAGGAGAAATAATTGAGACAAATCGCAAAGCGGGCGTTTCTCCTCGCATTAGTAGGTAAGATCTTTTTAGATTTAAGCGAGTAACTACCACGATAATATTTCTAGCGTTATAAGGCTGCGTACGCTGTATATGATATACATATAGCATATACATATATACATATATATTATGTATATACATACAACACATGTATATATATTATATATATTATATATATGTGGTTATCACATAAAAAAAAATATAAATACATATTTACGTTCTTTTTTTACATTGTTACGGAAACGCGAAGAAAACAAAAAATACGATGACGACGCGAAAGGAGAGATATTAAGATATTATAATGACGCGTATATGTTTTTTCGATACTTACGGGGTTACCACTGGACAAAGCGTAAGCGATTATATAAGGAAAGCGGATTATATCGAACAACAATACAAGAACAGCAGCGGCAGTAACAGCGAAACGATTTAATCAAAATACACACCTGCGCGCGATGCTTGATATTTGACACACATTAAGGTAACACCGCGGGGCGGTGGGTCGGACCGCAGAGGTCGGCCGTCGTCGACGTCGACGACGACGACGGAGGCGACGTTCGATCGTTTCGACGCGTCGCCCCACGCGCGTGTCCGCGTGAGAGAGAAAGAGAGATTCCCTTCTTCTGTGTTCTCGTCGTATCGGCCGAGCAAGCGCGAGCAGACGCGTCGCAAATTGAAGAGGAAAACAAGAAATTCCGTTTAATCTGTGCCAAATATATCCCAGAGTACCCAGACTTTTGTTCCTTCGTAGACGTAGTGCGTAAGCGAGAACGACGCCGGTCGGTACGTCCGGTAGACCGAGATAGTAGTACGGAGAAAATAAGATAGGCGAATAAGAGGAAGAAAACAATGAGGCGTTCCGCGATCGCTCGTCTCCTCCATCTATTCGTCAATGCGCGGTGACGGCCGGGACGCGTACGCCTCTCCGGCACGACGGAGGCCTCTCCCGGCCGTCATTCGCATCGCCGATCCACCGATCGTCCTCTCGGATCTCAACCGAGCGCCAAATCGCGAGGGCTTTGAAAAAGAGAGACAGAGAGAGAGAGAGAGAGAGAGAGACCCGGACGGACGGCGATCTTCCCGCGTGAGTTTTTCTCGCGATCACTCTTTTATCTTATACGATAAACTCTGCCGTATATTATACATTGTACGAGTTTTTTCTACGCGACGTGTGCGGATTTCTTAGCTTTGCAGATACGAGGCGAAAGAGGCTTTGGAATTAAACAATTTCTCGTGCCTTTCGAGGAGAGGAGCGATCGAGTTCGCGGCGGGTCGAGCGATCGATCGACCGGCGGTGACAGGGGAAGAACCAGTGTACGTTTGTTATCATCTTTTCCCTCCATTTTTCTTTCCTTTCCTTTACTCCTCATTTCTTTCGTTCACGCGTCTTCGATGTGCGTTCTTTTGCGTTACTTCTCTTCGTCGATTGTACAAGTGCGTTATCGCTCGCGAATATTATATATATTATATATATATAGATATATCCGATAGACCAATGTAATGATTAACTACATCAATACGGATCCGTTTTCGCCCGTAATTTTACGATTATTATTACTACTGTTAATGCTAGTATTTTGTTTTCTACTTGATGAGACGTCGAGATCAATATAACGAGAAAGCGTAATTTTAAGGGTCTCTAGCGTATAGATATGCCTACGAGAAGTTAATTTTTAAGTGTACAAGTAAGTTAGCGAGCGAGAGCGAATTAAGAAGACAGTAATTACACGTTTAAGACCTTTTAGTTAACTTTAGTTAACTACTCCTATATATATATATATAGCGGTTAGGGTTACGGATAGGAATTGTTTAGCCGAGTACGCGAGATAAAAGCCAGGTTAACACTGTCTATCTGTATGATAAATGTGACGCTACTTCGTAACTCTGTATTGCGTGTATATATATATACATATATACATACCTTTTAATGAATAACTCGCAAAACACACACGTTCATGCACACACACACACAGACACATACAGGGACACACATACACACGTACATCTAGTTGGCATACGACGCTATTAGGGTAATTTTGCCGTAAAAAAAATGCGCCATTCGTACCTTTCGCCGTCGTTAATCAGCGACGTCGCTTTGACGACAACAAGCGCATTTGCATATCTTTTTTTACGTTTCAACTCCATTGACTTTTCGGCTGCTTCATTATTATCATGCGTAAATAAAAGCGAACCGTATTGTTTCTTTATTTTCGTCCTTTTTTTCTTTTTTCTTTTTTCCTTCCGTCGCAGACCGGATGAAGATGCGTTCAAGCGGAACAGTCACCTCGAAAACGAAACGTACGAGAGGCGCCTTCACACGAAAGGAACTACGAAATCTATTATCTTACGCTTTCGATATTCGCGACGAATGAAAGTGCGCGACGCCGCGAGGTGTTTCCGAAAAGTCGCGAATCTCGCGAACGGTAATACATTGTACAAAGCTCGATGTCACAATGCGTGGACGCACGAGGGCCTAAAAGAAAGTGAAAGAGGGAGAAAGAGGAAGGAAAAGAGAAAAGGAGAGGAAAGGAAAGTAGAGGAAAATTCTTTACGTTGATTATTTCCGTCTTTTGCGTTACGTTAAGATTCTTCCGGCGGTGCGGAGATCGGTAGCTTTTATTATCAAGATTCATGCGTGCGGTCATGGACAGGAGTCGAGTCGTTTTCGAACCGTTTCAGACGCAACGCGACCGTTGTACATCGCGAGGATCCGATCGGACCCGACGGACTGGGTCGCGTCGTAGAGTTTAGCGGACAGATCGAGTTTTTGCTGCGCAAGTCCGACACGTATCTCATTCTCCAAGTACGCGCGTCTTGTAGTTTTGTTAATTTCGAAAGTCTCGTGCGGGTATCTTTGGCGCTTCCATGATACTAATACATACACGCACACAGACACACAGACATATGTACACACATACACATGACATACACGTGCGTGAATACGTGCGTATAAAGTATACGAGAATGTTGCGCGCATACTTGCCGCGTGTGCGCCGTGCTGCACGCATTTAAGAAACTTCCTTGATCCCCGAGTTTCGCCAATTCGACACGGTTTCTTTTCTCTTGTCTCTTGTTTGTTTTGTTTTTTCATCCTACACCTTTCCGTTCTTGTTGTTGTAATTTGCGTATCGTTAGCTCGTCGCGAGTTCCAACTTTCGATGCGATGAAAAAAGACGGGAAAAAGAGGGCGCTGAATTGCGGGAAATTCTGCAACCGTCGCCACGCGCATCATCGTCGTGTTAGGCGCGAGACAGATCGACGATATCATAACGATTTTTGTTTAGTTATCATACAGAAGGTGTCATACCGAGCTCGATGGTTGGTCGCATCCCCGGTGTGTCTCGCGACGATTTCTAAAGAGACGAATCTGACACGTTGCGGTTTGAAGTTGCGAAGCGACTTCCTCGACAGAAGAGGTCCGCGTCGCGAGATCTTCGTGAGATGCTCTCCGGTGCCGCATTTCTTCAAATGCCCGTCGCACGACACATACACACAATACACACACACACACACACACGTGCACACGTGTGTCACACGCGTGCAAGGAATTCGGAATATTATCGTCGATTCGTTCGTGCGAGTCTCAAGCGTGAGAACACGAAACGTCGATTTTCGAGCGACGGTGCTTTATCCGCAGCGGCGGAGGATGCACGAGACAAATGGGGGCTCCGCGTTAAGTGAGACTATAGCTAGCGATTCAGATTAAAACGGTCGCTCGAAGATCGCGCGTTTCCTGAAGAGAAAAAGAAAGAGAGTACGAATCGTCAGCGGGGTCGCCCCCGGCTGACACGGACACTCGATCGAAGCGATCTTTTTTATCTCGTTGAATATACATATATATATCTAAAGTATAAATAAAAAAATATATATATAAATATATATAAAAATATTTATATATATATATATATATATATATATACACAAACATAAAACAATGGCTCCTATAACTTCTCTACAGCTTCGTTGAAAGGCAGAAGAGAGTAACACAGTTCGCAGGATACGGTTAGCCGCTAAAGAAAGTCGCTGATAGTGTGTAGCGTTAAGCGCGTTTTGAGGAGAGCGAAGTGTGTGTGAATGCGTGCGAGAGATGTCGAAGGAGAGAGAACGAAGATGAGATGAGACGAGCGAAGAGAAAAGAGGATCAACACACCCGCGGATTCTCTCCAGTGTTTCGAGCGAGAGAGCGTGGCTGTGCGAATCGTGCGTGCGTGCGTGCGTGCGTGTGTATGGGTGCGTGCGCGCATGCAAACACGTGCAAGAACGACGAAGAGAGTTTTTACCGTTTACGATTAATCTGATTTGTACGTCGTGGCAAATGGCGACTGAGAGTAACGCCGAGATATTTAAGCAATCTGCCGCCTCTGGAAGGTACAGGGCACGTTTGTTGTTGAAAAGAGTTAGCCCTCTTTTATTCGAGATAAAGAGACAAAGAAAGAGAGGGCGAAGGGGGAGAGGAACGTTACTCGCTATTTTCTCCGGAGCGGAGGAGATCCGAAACGCGACGGTCTTGAAGGACCTTGATTGAAAGAAGAGATTAGGACATCCCCCTCTCTCTACGACGTGAAAGAAATATTAGAATGTTTTTCGATGTCCTCGAGAAAAAAAAGTTGACAAATTAGAAAGTTTTCGGACGCTTCCGGGATATCGCGAGAAGAATGGAAAGAAAAAAAGAGGGCTTCTCTCTGCAAAATCACTCGTCGACAGAGCCCGTTCGCTTTCTAGAGCGCGGTGCACCGAAATTCGGCGACATAGACTCCGCGAACTCGAGTAATTATTTTTTTAATCGGGCAGAGCATCCCACTCTCTTTCGCCACGGGCCCGTCAGGAGAGGGAGAGAAAGAGAGAGATGTACATAGCGTAAACCGTAGAGCGTTAGAATGCTGACGGAAGAATGTACAACAGAGAGATAGATAGGTAGATAGAGAGGTAGAGACAGAAAGAGAGAGCGAGCGAGAGAGAGAGAGAGAGAGAGAGAGAGAGAGAGAGAGAGAGAGAGCAAAGATGAAATATGCATGTGTGGAAGATTGAAAGAGGAAGTATGCGAGGATACGAGAGAATGTTAGACATGTAGGTTGTGCGTACAGTAGCGGAACGTTGTAACGTGGTAGCGACAGATTCCGGAAG